CTTCAGCACCCATTCTTTAGGCTCCTCGATTCGGTTATACGGTTTCTTTCTTCTCCATACTCCCTGCACTGGTGTACTCCGCACATCGACCATCACAATGGGTTTAGTGTTAATGCAAATGTCAAGGATTTGGAACTCTATTTGTTTTCGCGATTCCAATATTTCTAAAATTTTGTTGGACTTAGAAATTTGATTTAGCGCTAGTAGTCGCAGACGATCGTACTCAACCGTAATCGGAAAATGAAACGCCTGTCCGAAGGCAGATTTTTTAAAGAAGTTTTGGCATTTTACGTTGTACATTGGGTTAATCGGTAATGAAGCTTCTCTCTATGGTAACTGTCTTTGAGAACGTGAGCCCTAGTTACTCAATGTGGGTGTGGGAGCTTGTTGGTTTGGTTGTCAGTGTAAGCTGTGGTAACTTGATTGGCCATATTGCCATATTGGCTGGATGGACTGGCCTCTTGAGTACATTAAATGTCCATTCTCCTCCCCTTTACATATTTGTATGCTTCCAATCCAAGTATCAAGTCGTCTCTTCTCTACAAAGGAGTTTTGAGACTTCACATTTCTTACATTTTAATGACTTCCTTCTTGATTATCACTATTTGCGACAAACTTTCGCAGTTCATTGAGTATAGGATATAATGCATAGTATAGAAGAAGAGAAAGGTAGTGGATATGGTAGTTTGACATTCGTCGTGAATTCCGGCCTCTCGCACACGTGGAACATTTTAAACAATTAATATGTATTTCACAGTTTGTCTTCGCCAACTCCCACTTCCGTTTTCATATGCAAGCAATTAACGTTGGGAGTGTCAGTCTATGCGAGCCATCTCTAGGAGGTTCTGTGCGGTGTCAACCCGGCTGCAACTGCACTTACGTGTCGGCAATATGAAACAACGAATCTATTAGTTAGACGAGCGCATGAGCGCCTAACCATGGACACACATAATGATTAGCAGAGTTCTCAGTCTCTGAGTGATGTTTTAAAGCTAAATGAGGTTCCAGATTTAGTTAAAGTTGCTTAGGGGTCTACTACGGTGAGAATGAGTGGCAGAGGAGTGTATCACCGAAGCGGTTTGCTAGTATGTGTTTCCTTGCAGGAGGTTTATTGCGAAAGGAGCCGGACGCATAGCTAAAAGACGAGGTGGACTGCGTAATGCTTTGTCTGATTGATTGCCAATATCAGTTGAATTGCTGCATTGCTTCTGTCGCGTAGGATGGTCGCTTCCAGGCTTGTCGAAAGCCAAATTTCTTTTCCTCTGCCTGATTAAATGCATTCAAGCCGAGTAACATACCTCTCTGGGGCGCTAATAGGAAATGCCATACTAAACCCTTTACGCGATTTGTCCTCTTTTCTCCTATTCATATCATACGCAATTCATTCGTTTCTCTAAGGTTAACACTTAACAGAACAGTTCAGATGAAAGTCTTTTTAAACAGGATCTGCTTTCTGCTGCCTCCTCTGTGGCTACTCGAGATTTCACAAAGGACATCAAGAGACATACTATTTGGTGGGAGCGTAAGTAATCGGCGAACCAAGCGCTAAAAACCAGCGAGCGACATGTAGTACAATACACTGGTGGCATAGTGAGTGGAGCACAACCATAAAAGGCATCATTTCTGGCTTTAAAGTGATGATTAGCAGTCATTTTTGGGTAGACACCATAGTCTCATGTTTTGCATGAAAGATGACATTGGAAACGACATCAGTCACAGACAACGATAAAAGTTTTCTCGAGAATGCTTATCGCAATTTGTATCAAGACGCCGTTCATGCAAACAAGCGACACATCGTCCTTCCACTTCCCTACCATCTGGATGGAAGCCAACTGAGACGACAGGGTATCTCTAAAACGAAAACATCGTAACAAGAATAAACGATAATAAAACTTGATTTCTGCAGAGATCGTATAATTCTATCCTTTTTGTCCAACCCTGCTTTAAGATCAGTGAATTTACAAGTGGCTACGGAGTCAGTTACGGCCAAGTGTTTCCTCAAATTACTGGAATGGAAAATTGGATGTCTGACACTGATGACTTGGAGATTTAGCCTTACACCATTAACTACGTTGCGATGATCAGCTGGAGTGGGACATAAGCTGCAGCGTTGAAGACAACGTTCAAAAACGAAAAGAGCTCAATAATAGGTTGGCTGTTTATCATTTAATGCCTGGTTTTGTCAAAAGGACTACTTTGAATCTCCGCCAGTGTACCCTTACCGGTAAACCTTCGACCTTCAGCTAATGCCATTAGCAAAGGATATCCTCTGACAGTAAGCAGTCGGTCTTCTGCCAAGAGTTATGCCATCTTCTTCTTTTTCTTTTTCTTCTTCTTCTTCAGTGAAGGCTTTGTCGTTGGCTCATCTGTTATACGATGTTGCTAAAAATCATCTGCTTATTAAAGTTGGGCCGAATAATAAATTTTCCCATGTGGTCTAACTATTGCATATCTTACAATAGAATGTAAAAATACTCATTTACTCACTTTCATGCACGCGACTTCACGGCGTGTCACGCTTACTTGACACTTCAGTTGTGTTATTGACAGGCCTCTACACGTAGGTTTCCGCAAAGATCAGGAGGGCAAAATGTCATCGGCTGAATTTCTCTATCGTTGGTGGATGCAATCATCGTGTAATCTTGACGCCCTGAACAACACTAAAGTGAAGGATGTAGAATTTGAACGACATTTGGCTAGCCCTCTGCCAGTGGCGAGTTTGTTGAACTCAAAGCATAGAAGCATCAATAAGGTAAATATATCCATGGAGAATAGAATTTCTGTCAAATAATGGTGGATGGATCTCGAGGTCGGATGTACATGCATTTTGACTCAGGAAACCAGGCAGCCTTCTGTTCCATTGATTCCACTCCATGCCAACTATCCATGCAGCTGACGTGGGATTCAAATCGATCTGCGTGCCCATTTGTTAAAAGATTTCAAAATTCGTAGTTAGTCTTTGCAGATAGTGTAGTGGTATTTTTCTATACTGAGTGGACTCCATCTTTTGGATGACTGCATAACAACCGTCTAGGCGAGCTGCAAAAGTGATTGACGATAACGAGTAAGGATGTTGAAAATGGACACAAACTCTTACCGCTGCTACTGAGAGGTCTTACGTAGAAAAAAAAGGAGATTCCACGAAATCTCACCCATTCGAGCCTACCTTGGCATTGACAGATGTGAAGTTCAAATTAGTCTTGTGCTAGTACTGCCTTGTTTTAGTTGGAATGGAGGAATAATACTTGACACTAACAACGGTACCCAAAGCTCCAATACGGAGCAACATTTTTGTCAACAAATATTACCGTGTTCTTCTGAGCAGTCTTAATACTTTCGACAGAAGTCAAATAATGAAAGAGATACGTCTTTTGGATTATATGGGAGGCGATCCGCTGGGGGTGGGCAAGTTTAAGGTGCATCGTGTTTGCGGAAAAGCATTCTTTTACGCGTTTAGCTTCAATTAGTGCAGTTTTCCACATCTACTGGCCTTCCCATATAGACCTTATGCCTTTCAACAACATTCCTTTTTATTATTTCCCAGATACCCAACTTCTCATCTGTATGTAGCAGTGGAGGCGACGATCCACAATTCTGCTCTTTGGAATAAAATCGCCAAAGACCCTGACATAAGCATTTGCGCTCCTAAAGTGTAACTATTGATAAGACGCTACCAAAATATTAGAAAGTGTTTGACAATTATCAAACGACGAGATTCAGAAGCCGTCGTGGTCACCTCCTTTGCGATAGTCAGCATTCGCCAGCAGACACCAGCTCTTGTAGTGACCTTGGCAAGGAGCGTCGGTCACTTCGATCCCTTGAACAGCAGACGCCAGACCCTTTTCAGATATTTTGTGCCCCAAATCCTTGAGACCCTGTAAAATGAACTGAGAAAAAATGCCACAATAAAGAGGTCAGAAACAGATAGTCTACTGTTTTGTATCCCAAATGTCGACGCTCAAAGACATAGACTTATCTCAGCCTTGAAAAATAAAAAGAGGAAAATGCTTGTGGTCACGCTACATATCACTGACTAAATTCATCAGAAACAACAACAAGAAGTTTGTGATTCGTTTTGCTATCCTCAGCTCTCTTGATGGACTGGTAAAAAAATGTTAAACCGGTAAAAACGGAGGTGTGGGATGCAAAAAATCGACTGTGAGCGCATGAAATTTAAACCATTGTCTGTTCATTAAGAAGCCTTAACTGACTGGAGGCAGGTTTTTCTCGTAACGCAGTGTCTCTGGGATGAGCTGATGGTGTACTCGAATGAAGTCGGTGGCAGCCTTCACATTCATACCCAGATAAAGGACTGCGTAAGTAGCCTAGAAAACAAGTCGCATTGCAAGTGCTTTCAATTCAAATGGAAAGCGGGGACGATTTGCTGGACTAGCACCTGAACGATGGCAGTAATTATTTGGGTCCCACCGGAAGCACCGATTACGAGTCGAAGCGTACCGTTGACTGCATCGGTGACGATGACGGGCGCCATAGATGAGAAAGGTCGCCCTCCAGGTCGAATTAGATGAGCTGGACTGGATGGCAGACCGAAGACATTTGTTGCCCCCGTAATCGAAAAGTCATGCATTTCGTTATTGAAGAGAATGCCTGTCCGCGAACCCACAATGCCCGAACCAAAACTGTAAAGACAAAAGGAGAGTGAGGCAGAATAGCCAAGCTTTGCTTGATTACAGCTAGCCTTTCCTAGGCAAGCAGGTATTTAATTAGCTACTTACGCAGTGTTAATGGTAGAAGTGACGGACAGACCGTCGCCCTCCGGTCCTACCATGCTCACATGGGACGTTCCAATGTCAGTCATAGAGGAGAACATGGAGCCGTAGAAACTCAAATTGTGGGTTCCGGTGTCTGTTATGCTGGCCGCGATTTCGTCCGCCCCCAACAAGGTCATCAGTCTTCTCAAAAACTAAGTTATGCATCATGCAAACAAAATATTTAGCGCTTAGCAATATAACCTTCTTTGAAATCGTCCGTTAAGTATTTCAGTTGTAACCAAGCTCCTATGAGAGCAGATTTTGATAATAACTTTAATGGTCCTACAGTCTTTCCGTTGTTTAATTCACCTTCTCTTCTGCAGCATTCATACAGCACTCGTCTGTGAGGAATGGACGTTTGGCAAAGATGAGTTTGAAAACTTCTGTGAGTCTATGGTAGTAGAGGAGTCCATCGCCATCATGCAGGTTCTCCTTGCTCGTGTAATTGTAACCTAAAAGAAATTGCTTACGGTAATTCCTTGAAGCCGATACAGATGCGACGTAAAAGACGCCAACATTATTCCGTAACCGTTGAAAGTAAACACACCAACCAACTTAACTAATCTCAGTAAAAACTGACAGTTGTTTGTCTTTACATTGAAGCAACGATATCTCTTTGGAATTGTTCCCATTTTCAGTTTCTAATAAGCTATACCCTTCTATTACCTCTACTTCATATTGATGCTACATTAAAAAGGACTAGTTACCTCCCTTTGCTGCCTTAAGAGCGACAAGCAAGCACACTTATGCTGAGATCCGCTTTACGTATTTGATGCGTAGAATGCATAAACCGCATACTACCACTCCTTAGAAGGGCAGTGATATCGCAATGTTTGTGTGTGGGGAAAGGGAGTTGCAGATGAACCACAATTTTAAGGTGACAAAAGCATAGGCGCCCAAAATAAATGTGCCTCAAACTAGAGCTGGGTTGAAACAAAGTAGGCACATGCTTGACAGGTAGAGAGATTTGCGTACCGTTTGTTAGTCAATCTGCCTTCTTGCTCGCCAGAACTAAGGGCCACGTCCAACAGACTGCCCATTCTAATACCTTCATTATTCTTGGGTCCGCATTCCAATGCTTATGGTAGAGTACGTGACAAGAACGTTTTACTTGCCAGTACGACGTCAAAGAACACTACGCTATGCAGATCAGAGGTTGAAACCAATTATTGTTCAGAAAAATCACACCTACAAAAGGGGAATGTGGAAGGAGACGATAGAAAGGCTACAGAGAATTGCCAAAAGGGATGTAGAGGTTTAAATAAGGCGAAAGAAAATCAAACCATATGCTTTGCTGGAACCCCTCAGCCTACATTACAGCAGCTGTTTAACCAAAACCAACTGGATGTTGTCCGATACTAAGCAGGCACGCTTCCCACCACTTAGTGGCGGTTTATTAGCCCAACATCTTCAAAGTAGCAGTTACAAATAGAACGCACTACCCTGGAACTGTCTCACTGCCCATGTTTCATCCTTCAAATATAGTGAAACTGATCTGTCACTGCTGAGGGATGCTATCGTAAAGTGACAACTTCAAAACAGATGCACACCATTACACCTTCGGAGAAGGCTGAGACACTTTGATAGCGTAAACAGCAAGCCAATTCTTGCCAACCCAATGCTAATGACAAGTTGATCAGAATTAGAAACTATGCTTCAACTTAATAGTTGCTAAATGAATGTGCGCAATGTCGGCTTCTACCAACAGCTTCAATCTGTGCCAATCCACGCAGGAGTAGATTATTTAGGTTAAAAATCTTGGAGAACTAACTGCAGGAAACTGGGAACAAAATCAACAATGCAAGAATATAACGCTGAAAATGTGACAGATTGTGCAAAAGAACTTCGATCTTAGGCAGATGGTCTTGCTAAAGTGACAGGCACTTGAAATGCGGTCTCAGCTTACTACCAAGCCTTAGATGGAAGATAACGCCTGTCTGACCAATTCGGTTTGCAAGTTCTGCCTTTGCGACCGGAAATTATTCGAACTCTATTATTTGCGAACTTACTGGTAATGCCATCTTTCTCCCATCCTCGTGGCTATTTTGTGCAATTAACTCTCTGACAAAGTAGAGAATCTGCCTTAGGAATATCAAAAGGATGCTTTCACTGTTCGGTTCCTACGTCAGTGGTATAAACTTCTCCCAACTTATTCAGGTTCAAAAGCCCTCAGTTATTCGCACATCGATGGCAAACCAACTTTTAAGCCTATATGCATCAGAAGAGACGATTCAGGCGTCACAGTGATGGCAACAACAATAGTGGAGAGGATGGGGAGACATTATGACATGAAAGAAATTTATAGTGTTGTCGCTTAAGTTAGCGCCATAGTTGATAATGATGGTGGAAGCGTTGTTGATGGGAGAAGCTCTACTTACTGGCCAGTGCATTGAGTGCGAGGCCAATGAGAACGCCGCTGGAAGGTGGTGGGGTGGTGAGCAGACGGAGACTGGGGCCTTTAACATGGCGATCTCGCAGTGGTATCTCGAGCGGCATACGCCACAGCGGCTCATAGTCGATCAAATCCTGCAGGCTTATTATGGACCTCACCTCAGCCAGATCCGCCCTCACCTCCGCTACCAGCTCACCGTTCAGCACACCCTTCGGGTTGGCCGCTACTCTCTCCAAAAATCTCCCTAATTCAGGCCGAATGAGTAGCTCGCCTTGTTTCTTTAACCTCCCTTCCGTCTTGTTGTAAAAGAGTTTCCTTCATAACAATGAAGAACAAACGGTTATACCCGAGGATAGACACCCTTAAAATACCCAAATGTCAAAATGGGGTTTCCTCTGAAACCGTCATTTTGGTATGCACATAAAAATTACAAAAGAACTTACCAAATCCTCGAACCCACAGGAAATTTGTCCCCATACATTGAAAGCATTCGATCGACAAGGGGAGTAATTGGTGTGCCTTCACGACACATTTTTATGGCGTCTTGGAATAAGTCAGTCCAACGCATTCGGCCAAACTTCTTCCAAGCCGCATAGTAACCCCTCAGTTCGCTTGGCACAGCAATCGACAAAGGTCCTGCATTAAAGCGTTGGTTTGGATGCAAATTAGCCTTTACAATGAACTATCATCGGTAATAGGAGAGAATTTTTGTGTATGTACTGAATACCTCTAGTTAGTAACTTTAAGATCATGTGCCCTGGTGAGTCAAACAAGGTGCACTAACTGTCTTTATTAAAGGTAGCTTGGGTGTGCACTTGGTGCTAAAAGAGGAACTAGTTAGGCGGAGAATGCGATTAAGAGAAAAAAACATGACCCCAAAGCCTTTATTTATAAGTTCCGCGGCTTCAACCGCATCTAGTCCATCAGGCCGGTCCTGTCACTCAATGTCGTCCGTTTTGAGATGCTTCGACAGTAGACAACTCGAATATGAACAATTTAAATGAAAACACAAGAAAATGTTTTTGTTATTGTTGGGAAACAACAATCATTAGAATCCCCCGAAGATGCTCTTTTACTGAACAAAATTAACCACTGCGATTTAGCGACTTGCACACCAAATGCGTGGAATCGAAAATGACAAGTGAAGTTTGTTAAATACATCCATTGTCGTGCACTAAAAGTTGTAACCAGTGGTCCCACGAAGAACTCATTAAATGTTTTGCTAGTTTGTGTGATATCGCAAGCATTTTCAATAGATTAACCGAAAACACGGGCGGGTAGTATCCAACGTCTCGCCACCAAGTCAATGAATGAATCTTTGAATAAGAATGCAACGCAGCGTGCAGCTTACCGAATGTCCACTCAATGGGATCTCTGCCATCGAACATGCTTGCTGACGCGCCAGAGGGAGCTGTCTCGCGAGCATCCAGGGCGTATGCTCTCCTTTCTGATCTGGACGTTTTCAAATAATGCGCTCATGTATGGTTATAGATTTTGAATTATCACTCATTGAGATCTGAATCTAGTTTTGTATCATGATTATCAAATGTAGGGGACCTTCAGGTTCTTTAAACGGCCTTTTCATGTTTCCAAATCACATGCGAATCAAAGTTCGCTTTCAAGGGTAAGCAAAATGACAGTTCGGACGGGAGGAAAGATAAGGTGTTTTCAGAAATAGTGAGCCAGATTTCCCCGAGATCGTCGTTGTCTCTAGTATTACTTGGATTCCTACATGCAAGCATCCCCAAGACCTACTAATTATTAAGAGAAAACTTCTTGTCTAAAGCTTAAATATGCTACTTTAAGCATTATGGGGAGATGATAGGAGGCACTACTTAGCTATTTGTGTTCGAAAGCCGCACACAAATACTTACACGGCGGAAGCTATTGCAGCCATATCCTGTTTACATGGAGTCAATCAAAGATAGAATAACATAATACCTCTTGCCGGAATCCTGTTTGTTCGACAGATGCCACAACAAGTAGCGCGCTCAACAAATTAGCAACTGAATTATTCCAACCTTGTCCAATTGTGCAGCCCAACACACCAACGCATGACTGAGAGACCCTCTCCGATGAAAAGTGGCAGTACACTGGATTGTATTAGTTATCAAATTAAACCGAGGCCCCACTGCTCGCATTCAAAGTTAGCAATTATCGTAGATTAAATCCCACGTTTACCACAACAGATCAGCACAACTGCCATGGTGGTAGACTTACGCATTGTAGTAGACCATTAGGAATCCACCGCCGACACCCATGCTCTGCGGATTGACCAGACCGTTACAGAGCAACGTCACAATAGCTGCATCAACAAGACTTCCGTTTCGTTCAAGGACTTTCCTAAAATTGCATGATTGTAGACTCATAGCTTCTCCGCCCACATAAGTGGCCACAATCATCAGTGACCGACGATATGACGTAATGCATTTCCAAATTTACTAAGCAGTCTCACTTATTTCATAATTTTGTATGATCGGCCAGAGTATTAAAACAGCCTGTGGTAAGGGGTAAAAGAAGAGCAGAGACACAAGCCAGCTGCTAATCAAACTGGCATAGAACCCAGAGGTATCGTAGGTGCCCTTGCTGCAGCGTTTGGTTGATGTCAATATTACTTCCCTTCTTACAAATAATTCCAACAGGCTTTTATTTGGGGTCAAGCGAGTCCCTCGGACAGAGGTATCAACGGATCCCAAACTTCCATTCACAGAACAAAATGAATAAATCTGTAAATGTTTTAAGCAGAAGTCTGTACAGTGTTTTTACTTTACTGCTTGGAGAAAAGCCGGAGGGAGAAGCTGCGCTACTTCCTCGGGGCACATCCTGTGAGGGCATCCTTCTCCACTGTCTACTACGCGGATGAACTTCTCAAATGACTCAGCTATGGCAACAATTGCCTCACTGCTGGCCACAAGTTAACGTGCAAAATAATTCAGAAATATACCCAACGTAAATTTGTATTATTAAAGCGGCGATCACGAGTGACTGCTTCTGACAAAATCCGCAATCAGGAAAATGCAAGTCACTTATTTATTTTATTCGCTATAGCGTTGCAAATTAGAGATGAGCCCACAATAATATGATAGAGGCGATTTAAACACTTTACGACATGCCTTGAAGTAGGTGAGAATTTACCTTCCCTGAGTGGCGCATCCAGGAGCATCGGTAGAAATTGCCGCCTGGCGATAGTATCCCAAGGAAGATGGCGAAATGAAAGTCGCAGAGCCGTCTGCACAATGGTGAAAATGGCCTTACACGATTGCAAGAGTGTAAGAATATCAATGTAAAGAGTTACAAATAATGCCGCTTGCCGCGGGTTGAGGCGAGGCATCACTCAATCACCCTGTTGACTCAATTTTACGACATGCATGACTACATCGTTTTAGAACAAACCTACACACGAAAACATGTTTTTGATTCCCCAACTAAGGAAGTAGACATGCCAGGAAATATTCTCTCAACCACATATCAGAAATCGCAATAACTATTTTTTGACCTTATAATCGAGGCAATTTCGAAATATCTGACTCCATCATTCCTAAAGGCGGATCCACTCTCCAAATATGCATAGCAATAAAGAAATACTTTTAAGATACAATCTGACACTTGAATTAATTTGCAAATAATTTACAACGGAATTCATTATGCCGTAGAGACAAGGTAAATTTAATGCATAAAAGCTGAGGTTATTCACGTTCAAAGCACTTACTAGGCATGTCATTGACTGCCAAACGATTGGGCGAGTTAATAGTAGGGGAGAGGAGGAAGCTGAACCTATTAACACGAGGAAAATCTTATGGTTAAATATTAGCAGGGCTTTCAAATGTGTGTTTGCTGAAAGCAGTTAGGCAAAGCATAATGCGTCGGTCACCTTAGGCCCAATGGAAAGATGGCCGCAAATAAGAGGGCAGTGAGAACCAGAGCTGTAAGCATGCGCAATAGTAACAATTGTTATTTGGTAATAAGCATTCGAGCCGCCCTCCGCCTCGCGCTCGTGCTGACCGACCACTAATCGCACCATGGCGCAACCTGCCCACGGGAACCAATCAAATGACGGCAAATGCATTCGGGACAGTCGACGCTTTGATCGGCTTAAGCGCGCGCAGTCCCGTTAAAGATAAAGTAAACGTGATGAGGTCTCAACACCTTCGATATGAACCCTTGTAAGACTAGGTTTTTTAGCATTTTTTAAGCGGTAGAGTTAACTTGATACAGACATTATCGCATTCTAGAATGCCAACTCAATTTTTAGTGACAACCCATACTCCACTACAAAAGTGGTGGTGCAACAGCCTGAGGTGTGCACTTATGCGTAATAAGGCATAATAATATGTATGCGTGAAGCATACAAAGGGTTAAGACTGCAGGCATAGGTTGGATGCTAACTGCCCAGAAATGGTACAATAGTAAATGTCTCAGATGAGCCCTTTTGTCAAGACAGAGAACTGGTGAATCGCATTTGTACTCCAACTGTTGTTAGTACAAATGTTGTATTTGTAATGAGTAAGTGATAAAGTTGAAAAAATATAAGTTTGAATTCAAAAAAATATATTGTGGCATTTATACACCCAACAGTAACAGTTCTCACGCAGAGCACAAAGGGACGACCAGCTGAGAACTGACAGTCTATGGCTGGACCTATCGTTCAGAGATATTTATATTTTTCACTTCGAAGACTGTTTGATTACAAGTGCATGGAAGTAAGTAGTTTTTTTGTAATTTATTTACCAACGTAGTTGGCATACCTTCTGGTGCTTACCATAATACTGTAGAAGCAGTGATGATGATAGAAGGAAAACGATGCTTCCTCAATCCTGGTAGTGCAGAGAAAGAGTTGCACCGATCTCCGACATGTGGCCGCCCACATGTTCCATCGCCTTCATCTGTGCATAAGGTCTGCTTTGCACATACGAGGATCTTCAAATGGGCTGTACTCATAATAGGAGTCCTCGTATCTTCATCTCTTTACGCCGTGTCAAAGCATCACTGCTCAATCCATCTCCTGCAAACACGACTTGAGATTGTCTTGGGACCTACACTCTGCTGCCCTCTAATGGTCCCCAATGTAATGCATTTTCCGTGCAACTGACTCAAGCATTAAAGGATAAATCAGAATCGCTGTGATGACCAATGAAGCTGCATCACGAAGAATTTGGAAAAAAAAATACTTGAGGATCGTCTGAAGGTCACACGCCAAGCTAGCTAAGGAGTCTCATAAAGGTGCCAGGAGCCAAACACGTAGCTTGACTCGTTGTCTCTGGATTGTCACTGCATCTGCGCCTCCTCAAGATGTAGGGGAACTAATTAAATTACTGGCAGGCTTGAGACACTTCGCCTTGCGAAGAACAAAAGTGACGTGTGGTGAGCGCGGTGTTCTCAGTAAGGAGTGGTTCCACAGTATCGCTATCCACGGCTTTTGGGAAATTAAGCTCATTTGATTCCAAAGGCCATTTAAAATATAAGGCTAAAAACCCACTTTAAGTCCTATAGTATCACAATTTAAGCATCCAATTTTGTCACCAGAGATCATCAGTTGCGTCTTGAGGTGTAACTCTTCGATTACTGGAAATTATTTGTGTTGAAAAGGCGTCGTAATATAGCCCAGTTAAATGAGGAATCACTGGCACCATTGGATGCATCCACTCATTGCCAAGTAGAAAGCGGAATATAAAGGCGTACAGATTGCTTTACTTTGCTTCTTAACCAAAGTCTTAGCAAGCAATGAGATCCATCCTGTAATGCTGTGGCTAATCAAGAAGGTCTGTATTTTCAGAACCACACAAAGTTATAACTTAAAGCTGACAAAAATGTTGCCAAAAGTAATGGATTTTCAAAGGCATGGTCACGATAACACAAGCACATTTCCATGCGCTTACGCATCGTGCGAGTTGCAAGTATTAATAGCATTAAAGCAGAAGTCCACCCACGGTGGCAGTGCGGTTTATGTGTCATGTGATCACTCACTATCAGGAAACCTTACAAACAAGCTTAGTGCGATCACTCTGTAGGGATGGCATCCCTCATGACGTCATTTTGACGCTGTCCTAGTAACTGTGCTCACGCAGCCGTATCGTGGTGCAGCAGGTCCGTAGAGTATTAAAATATTGTTGAATACGGATTTCGATGCCCTTTTATAAAAGAAAACACTCTCTCTAGCACATCAAAGAAGGACCAAATGAATTTCGAACAAGCCACAACTTACGTCATGTCGTCATTCTAAACTTTTCGGGCAGATCGTGCAATAACTCACTCATTCGATATGATAATCGTCGACTTTGGAATCTGTTGGACCGTCTTTACTACCGAAAATCTTAGCAGTCCTTTTGTCCCCACCATTTTCACTGCTTTGGTTCAAAAACGTTGAAATTTTGAGCAACTGCACTAATTGGCCTCACCAGAGCACACCACCGTATTTGCAAACTACCAAATCAGCACAGTAACATTTATGGAGCTATGAGAAAAAAGTTCATTTTTAATGATTCCGCCGAAATGCATGGCAACTTATTCGTGCAAATGGCCTAATTTTGTAAGTTACATGAAAATGTCACAACATTGGCATGACGTCGCGCTGCCACCGTAACCGAGCTCACGAGGACGGCAATTTTGTGACTGCGCATCGGGCAGCTCCATTTTAATCGCACTAGCGGAAAATTTTGACAACCGCATTTAAAATATAAGGTGAAGGTGAATTGCGCACTACGTCAAGCTTAATTGGTTGAGTTTCCACCTGAGAATGACTCTCATTATTTCATTAGAAGCATAAAAACTGCAACGTGCGTGAATGAGTCGTATTCGAAAATCGCATTACTTTATCCAGAATGGAACACTTTAAAAGGCCTATATACAGTGACCGTTTGTGGTTGTTCAAACTTCAAACTCCAAAAATGTGCTTCTCCAAGCGATGGTTTGATCGGCTAATGTGCTGAAGACATTTGGTTAAGTCTACCTTCATTAACTTCAATTACATTTTGCGACTTCTTCAAATTTCATTAGTTTTCGATATTTCATGCTAAAAAAGCCACTTTACCATCCATTAGAAGGCTCATAGCCTGGCTTAGAGAATGAGGCACTCAAATGAGAGCCAAAATATGCTTGCTAACCAATAGCACCGGTCTGTTGCTTCAAAGGGTCAACTCGTCCTGCGCTTTTCTCCTCCCGTGTTTAAGGTTTGTTTTCCTTTCATAAGCGCAAATTGATTTACCAGCAGCACAAGAATAAGCTTAAATTAGCCCGCCATAACTGATTATGTAAATATCTGATGGAGCACGATTAGTCAGTACCTCTCGGTTTACTTTAACTTTCAGCCTTACCGGTGACGTAAAAGCCTAAGGAAGAAAGATTTAGTGATTTAATCAGGATTGATGCTAACTTTGTGGCGAAAAATTCTCTTAAGGATGGGTAAAGGGTCATTTTTTGGAGTATTCGAAGACATGGTGGACATAACAATCTACCAGACTGAAGAGCATGACAACCCAAGTTAAATGTGGGAGGAGACTACATCTGTCTGAGTCCCTGCCTGGGCTAACGAACTACCAGTTTCAGGAGTCAATGATGCACTATTACGCCACAGTATGCATTGTGTATTCGGAGTAGAGCACTTGTGCTTGAGGCACTCCGAATCTTACATCGAATTGTACATCATTTGAGTCTTAATTTATCGGTGCGGTATTTTACTAAAAAGGATTCATTTTAGTTGCAACTGACACGTAATTAGCAGGCAGCCGCACTGCGATCACTCTTGCCACTGTGTTTTTGCCAACTAACATGATTGTGATGAAATAGGTCATGCAGTAGCATCCTGTGACAAAATCTGCTTCAACTTTCACAGTTCAGCATTTTGCGCCCGTTACCTGGTTTTCTATCAAAGAGTTTCGTATAGTCTCCCAGTATACATAAAATACACTTCAGCTGACCAAATAGGTCGTACCAGCGGAAGTGCAACTTATGTTGACCAATTTGGCAGAAGCTGTGTAAAATGCAATGGAGACGAGTAAAACTTCGACGTCCCTCTTTTTAAAATGATATGGAATTCCCATCAGACATCCTATGCATCCTTGCACAATAGGTGACGTTTTGATTTGCCTTTTCATCTCTATTGCAATCGACGAATGTAGAGATATCATGACGCCTTCAAGGTGGACAATGAAATGCGCGACTCTCATTGATGGACTTCAACTGAAAATCTGTTTTGTTCGTCCGCTTCTCTTATCACAGGTTTATTCTAATGTCGTAGCAAGCAGTGATTCCTTTGATCGCCATTGCAACAAAGCAAGCAATCAGATTAGTCATTTGATCTTAGGATTCAAATTGCTTCTATCGGGCCAATGAGGAGTCCCACTTGTGGCTTACAGCCTAAACGCGCGTACGCACACGATCACACACATTTCTCAATGGATTTTCAGTTTACGCACCGTTTTTTGCATGCATTCGCGCAACCAAGTCTGTAGGCTTCACAAGGTAGAACAGAGCCCTTCACTCCGTTCCCTGTCCAATGTCTCCCGCGCCAGTTCGCTTCGAAGAGGTGGCGTACAATTACGGATTTATCCCTGTCGAGCCACACACAAATCGCGGCTACTGCCTAGTGTACCGCCTATTTAAGGAGTGCATGGAGGAGCCAGGCAAGGTTGTGCTCATTCGCGGAAATGAATGGGTAATTCAAATGAAAGACATCAGTGGACCGTTGGATGAACGTGAAAAAATCACCATCTTCTGTCAGGATATAATTGACTACTATCCCTTCAACTTCAAGAGCAAGGCTGTTGGCTTCTTAATTCAAGCCAGACGACGCTCGAAGACGGGATACTGGTTTGTTGTATTTCAGCGAGAAGGACAGCTCGAAGCTTTTTGCTCCTTCCTCTACTGGCTCATACATGGACGGTTGCGACGGCACGGACAGTCCCTGTCCCCCAATCGCGATCTCAGATCTGCCAGTCGTTACCACAATTCACCGCCCAGACAGCGCTCGAGACCACGATCTCACGTTTACGCTGATCAACACAGTCTGAAATACGGAGGTCGCGAATCCGTAGTAGTCTCGTGCAATTCTTCTGGCCTCACTCTCTACAAGCCTGAATCCCTCAGGACATCTTATTCTCCTTCATACACCTACTACGAATCATCAGCACCTCGCAGACTTACACGCTCGACTGAGCGCCCATCGCGCTACTGAGAAAGAACACTTGAACTTAATTCCCTTGTGCAGCCATGGCCAACTTACTAGCCGCTCAAGACCGCCATTTTGGGACTTTAGTCTATTTTTTCACTTGAGTAAGCACCTCTAACCGAGAATCAGATGACTATGCAACAACAACGTAGTCACTTGCCAAAGTAATTTGAAGTTTTTACTAGTACTTACTTGTTCCCCAATTAAATAATTTGGGCATCACGATTTCCTTTATTCAGAAAGACGTGCTAAATGAGCTGAGAGTTTTGGAAGCATTAAATGGTAATTGATCAAGTTATAAACCTTCCAAGTATCAATCCATACCACAACTGTACGCGAAACTGGACTGTTCACGATGTTGCGATACTTCACTAAAAATATACCTTGTGAAGTATTTTTCGTTTAGTGTTGAATACTTGCCACCGTCCTCAATTTGCACAGGAACGCTGTTAGCGATTTCGCTTCAAAATTTTAGCGTCTTGTTAAAATAATTATCCTTGGGGAAAAATAATTAAATAAGTGTTAACGTTTCCCATCGAATTTATGCCATCAAAATGCTATCAAAAGTGGGAAGCCTTCAATCAAAATGTCAGCAAATTTTATCTGAGGTAGACACTGCTTGGCGAGCATCCCTAAACTACCCGCAACCTTTGATAGGCGTGTACAACACAAAGTTATAAATCCACATCTTTGCAACCACGACACCACTATAGCACCACCACTGAATACAAACGTCGCGATATTGGTCAAATAGCTATTTGACAGTCCCTGCTATATATTGCTTACAATCATAAGGTTTATTGTCCAGTTCCCACAAATACTCCTCAAATAAGTCGGAATAGCTGTCTTGAGAATCTGTGGTCAAAGGCCTACAGCCTGCTACATTTCCGCAGTGTTCAAGATGTGCCAAAAATAGAGAACAACCCAATCAAAATATCCGTCGCCTTCTCAAATCTCCAACCAACCATACCAACCAGACTAGTTATCTCCAAACACCGAAAAGCCGAGCCATGCAACTCAACATATTTCAATAAAACATTAGAGTGAAAATGTGGATAAGGTTACCGATGTAATAACTACGCGTAGATAGGCTTGACGACAGACAGTGCTCTACACTCATGCCTTCGGCTCGAATACACCTCAGAGACAAGCCTCGCAGTCCTAACTTCCCCCAGTCCGCCATGAAGGCTCCGCTATTAGAAGACGTAAATAACGTGCCAGAGTGAATCATGTGCCCTGCTTAAATGGGATGGCCTTGCCTTTCAAACGGAGCAAATTTTACGCACTCGTAATAAGTAACACTTTTTGAAGTCTTGAACTCACCATAAGCAAGGTAAATCAGGTAAATAGAAGCTGGAGCTCAAAGCATGACGTTGGCTATTGAAGTAAAGTAGATACTGTACAGCAAGGAAACACTGACTTGAAAAGTTGAAGCTTAAACTTGGTTTCAATACAAGTGAACACCTCCACATAACCCTAAATTTTCAGGTCCCGTAATAGCCAACTCTTGCAGAGCAGTATAAGTAATGTTGGGTGAACAAAGTTCTATCTCCTAAAATTATTTCAGCAAGGAGCTTCTCATTTTGCATTAAACAAATCTGCAGTCAAGGACGCAATAGTCATCTGAATACCTCCAAGGACAATCTTTAGCTATAAAGTGGCCGCAATTTATTGCGTACTAAATTAACAGCTTATCTGAGCATCCTACGCTCTAAGCAAGAGAAGAGGTGTCTAGGTAACAAATACGACTATCGTAATTTGGATTTTGGGCAATTATGACAATCCATGCAGGCATATGGATAAGGTAGAACGAAAAGGATAAATCCGCCATTTGTTTGCGATGAAAAGAATGCACTTCACTGAAGCTCTGCTGGCTGTAGATACAGTGCGAAAATGCACAATCAAATGCCAGAGATAAACAGCACTAAGAAAACATGTTTTGAACCCATTCTTATTAAGTTTCCATGCCTTCAAAAGGCACCGCTCCCGAAACGCTAGAATCAACATATTTTTGTGCACAAAATACTTGTTCTACTAAAATGTATCAGTAAAATAGTGATAAACGTCTCTTCGGAAGGGAAGTTAAACTGACCTTGAGAGCAAGATTGAATCCGGAGTGGCATGATGCGGTGTCAATAGAAGCTCAACCCCCAATAAACAAGGAAGCAAAATGGAAGATATAGATGGCTGCATTACATCAAAAGGCACGAGACATTAAAGTTAAAAGTTGCACATCAGTGGTGTCTATGAGTGCCGGTGTCGGTTCAAACTAAAACAAAAGCGTGGTCCTAGATGAGAGTAACTCGCATTATCGAAAAATAAGCCTTATTTCTTTCTCCTCTAAAAAGAACAGAGATCACTTACCATGAACCATATTCGTTATCCCAAAAAGACAAGCTTAACACGCCAAATAAAGTGACAAAATAAACTCAGGACCTCTGAACCTGAAGGACCAGCCCTAGTGACCATCACTTTACTCCCATGGAGAAGAGGTGGAATCAACACTACGCCGCTACGTTAAACATGTTGCAATGACTAGATAGAATGAAGCGTACTGAATGTCGGTAAAAGGCTGCGTAACTTTCACAAACCTGAGTAAAAATACTTTAGGCTTTTAAACCAATGGAAATATAGTTCACAGCCTAAAACTCATAGCAATTGTTTGCAATGCGGTACAAATATACCAGAGAACCCGAAAATTATACTATCTACAAACAAATAAATCCGCCTATAGGCAGAAATACTTCTGTTACAGAAACACAGCGGAAGCAGTAATGCAACCGACAAGAGGAATCAGTGTTTCCGTTTAGTCGCATTTCAGCTAAGTAACAAAGCCAATAATAAAGTCAGTCTAGTTTCTTTTACCGTGATCACTTGTACCACCAGACGACGATGAGGTGCTGCTACCCGATGAGCTTTCGGAGCTGGATGAAGACCCTCCCGAACTGCCCGACGAAGAGGTAGTACAGGAAGACGAAGAGGATGAATCCGATGAATCCTCACTGTCTGAGGACGAAGAAGATGCGGATGAAGAACTCCGAGAAGAATCTGATGCAGTTCTCACCGATTCTTTTCTATACGCAAAGCAAAGTCACCTTTATGAGTATATCTTGGCAGATGCGTTTTAGTAAGCCCCTTTAGTGATAGCTATAAATTCAAATTCCTACTTTTACACAAATTTTTGAGGCTTATTGATGAGCAAACCACCCTTATAGGAAGTGTGCACAGAAACGCGCGGCTCGAATACCATAAGCCAATAAACCCACTTTGAAACCTTCGCCATGCGTCTGGAAAGATGAGCAGTTCTCGATTCCCGCTCCAGATACTTGTGCTTGCCTTTGCATTCATAAGTCCAGTGCCCATCTTGGAGACACTTCTGACAAAACTTTTTGGTTTCACTGCTAGTTCTACAAGCAAAAGGATCAACACGTCGCATAAGTTTCAAAGGAAAATAAAACATCAGAGTCGAATAACCTACTTTTTGTAGTAAAATGCCGGAAGTCTGAGGTTTGACATTTCAAAAGCAGATATGTACACGAACCATTCACCTCGAAAACCACTCAGTAATAAACACGTATGAATGGAGAATGCTGGAAAACGCTATCCGGCTTAAGAAAGTCTCACAAAATAATGTTAAAATTTACGAACTGCAGTGTAGCCAACCAAGGCACCAAGCCGAAATACAAAAGGCCACGTTTCAGATAAGCCTCTAGCAACATAAGCGCACATAAAGTTTAACTAGCCTCAGAAAACAAGCTTCTGATATACCACTCTTCGAATTCTCAAGCAAATCTTAAGCTGATTTCCTACAGGAGCAACAGGCAGAGAACCCCTCTACGAGCGAAGCCTTCAAAACTGCTTCTTATTGACTAAATGTGTGTGCTTGTGGAAATAGTAATTGCGCCTACACTTTTAGGATTAAAGGCATTGTTATAAAAAATGTTCTTTTGTGGTTAAAGTGGTCATGAAGAAAATTATGACAATTCCCTGTAACTTATTTTGTGGCAGCAACAAAAGTTAATTTTTCACGTTAAGATAAACGGAAGAGCTTAAAGGATTGGTTTTCGCATGCCTTAGAGCGCCACCAAACTTCTAATTGATGCGCTTAGCGTATGTACTGACCACATAATCTAAATTGATTCGCTACCGTCTTCTACTTAGAGCCGTCCTCAAACTTGATGCGATTTCTTCTTGGATGAACTCATCGCATTACGATGGGAGGATGAAAGCTGTGCTTGACTTGAAGCACAAACTGTTAAGTGATAAATTATTAAAGCAAAGGACACTGGAGCATACTTTTATGTTAATATTGGTGCTGATGCAGACATTTGATCGAAAATTTTGCGCATAACATCAACTTCCTTTTCGAGGTTTATGTACGATTTGGACTTCCGTGCAATGTACAGCGAAGTGACTTCTGTGCATTGACTTTGCAGCTACAACTGTAGTTTTACAAAACCAAATTTTAGTGGACCATGCTGCCGCTACTAATTTATTAATCTATCGGAATCAGCATTAATGTACACTAAGCACGCACTATTTTTGCTTCCTGCCGCTAGTCCACGTGCATGCTCACAAGCCTGTCCCTCCTTCTGAGGCGTTTTCCACACATAAATCACTACTCTCACTACAAACACCGCAGCTTTATGTGTACTCTGGCCTTTTACCTCAGAGTACCTCTTCTGACTTAAGTTACATATTACTTTGTTGCAACGTAAAAGAAATGGACTTACTCTCACGTATGTATGGTTTTATGAATAGGTAGATCAGTCAGCGCTCTTTCATTACGAGAATTAAGTTTGATGCGTGTATTTTTGGATTGCCAATAAACACAGTTAAAAGGAACCCTAAGCGTTTATTCGAATCGTACCTTCTTCAAAGACACAAAATTGACTTAACACAGAACTTCTTGTATAAGCATTGGTAATGGATTGCAGTTAGTCAAACATTATCAGGCAATGGTATGGGGAACAATTAAGAGTGGTTCAACGAGGGAGTGATACATGTCCACTCGTGCACATATCTACAAGCTGCATCAAGACATTGTCGTGCGCTCTGCTAAACATTATGAAGGTCTTTGGTTGCCTCTCATCCTCATGAATGCAACTTAACATTCCTGCGTTAAAGGGGGCGAAAGAAAGTTATTTAGGGCTCAAAAAACTCATCGAAATCAACAAATAAGTGGATTCGAGTGACGTTTTCCGTCACTGCTAGCTTTAATTGACCAATAGCCTCATTGGTTTGATTTGAAGCGCAAAATAGACCAAAATAGGTCCCAACTGCCTTGGTTGGGCTTACATTTGTGAGGGAGTTTTATCAGTGCTATACAAGATGGCATTTTTCATTGAAATGCTTTTCCTTATTACAAAGCCGCAAAATTCGTTATTAAAAACCTTTCTGAGCCTCCATGCTTTCTCCATACTACAGCCCTAAAAGATCTAACAAAACATGACTACACATTGCTCGCAAATGAGGAAGGATTCGGACAAATAGGTTAGTAATGAGTTCACCTTCCTCCTGTAGCCCTTATCCGAATAAATTGTGTTTACTTTTTACGTACACCATCTTACTGTAGTGAATGTCCATAACATTGCTAAAGCCATGTTATTCGCTAAAATGATTAAGTGGCAAGTCGATGGGCAGGAGATGTCGAAGTAATGTCACTGGGTCTACATGAAAAAGAACCAGTTTTTGAAACAGGATGAAGATTTCTAATGCAGCACTGCAAATGTAATGTAACTGCGTCATGTAATCACAGGGAAATGCCTTAACAACCAATTTTTATAATGAGGATAGCATATTGATGTTTCCTCTAAATGTCACTTTTCATTGGACCAATCGGAGTTCACTTTCACCTTGCCTAGAATTACCGTTGCTGGTTCCAGTTGAAGCAAATTATGCTGATTAAAATTGATTTGCCATAGCTAGCTTACGTGCAGGCAGGCTGATGTTGATATTATGTGTACTGAGGTCACTCACTGATATGCTCCGATCACCGACCTAGCGTTTGTAGCCGGTGTACGGTACTACATCTTCCGTAGCCGCGCCACATCAATTTATGCCTCTCTTCCTTCCCTATACTTGATCATGTCATGCTAGGATTAACTATCATTTGGTCGCCATCTTAAGGTCATTCCCCTTAAAAGTGCAGTCCTACTGTACAATATAAAAATTTAGCTGGATGTCAGCCGCGACTGGAGGTTGATGAAGCAGCCATTCCATTTGCTTCCACCAAATGCACACAAATGTAATTCATGAGAGGTGTATTTTGGCGTTCCTAAATCGTATAATAATTGTTGCTCTGCATTACTTTACTTTCCAAGGAAATTTGCCCAGTGTATCGAAATCACACATTCTCATTAAACTACTAAGCCGCCAAATTCATAAAGAAAAATTTGGTTGTATAAGCAAGATTTAATGGGATTTGCGATCGGTAAAGCGATTGGTGGTAAAGTCGATGAGGCCGATGTGGCTGCGTCTGTAATTACTGGAATAAATTCCAGCACAGAATGAAACACTTTTCCTTTCACCATATTTATTCACCCTTAGTCTGCACTCATCGACCCCGTTGGAAAGCTGGCTGTTGTGGTTCGGCAGAGGGGAGGAGCTTGGATGAGGGCAGAACTTATTTCTGGCTCACTAGTGGTTTCGGCATTCGAGTATCCACTTTTGGCATTCGGTGGCCTAACTATAAATTATTGGCATCAATTCGAACGCAACTTAAGGTATGTCTGTGTGGCAGAGGGCCGTCGTGATGGCGCGTATCGACGCGAGCGGGCTTTGTGCTGGTGCAGGTGCCCTGGTCACACGCGGTAGTTGGGCCAATGCCCCCTCCGCGAGGCTGCTGCTGCCGCCCGCCAATGGGCTCTCCAAGAAGCACAAACACGAAGAGCTTTTATTCCCATCTTTTTTGTTGTGTTATTCGTCGTTGTGCACTCTCGTCCAGTACTTCTTCTTTCCCCTTCATAGCATCATGAAGACTTCAAAACTATCAATGCTGTCAGAACCCATCATCACACAATCTTAGATAATCGCTTTATTCATTTAAAGCTAATTTGGCTTTTTTTACAAACGCATCCGTGTCCGCGTCATTAAGGTTTTGACACCAAAGTCAAAACATTGCCCAAAATGTGGTTAGTACATACAAATTCCTCCAAATCGTTTTCCTTCCTCATCAAGTGAAGCAAAGTTGCTGCTAATTGCATGATGCCCTTCCTCCATAAAACTGTCAACGCTAAAATTGTGATTTTAAATATAATTTGCCCTCAAAATTTCACCGCTCCGACACGCTTCTGAGTATGATAGCGGTTGCGCAGCGCCTAAAGCGCAAAAACATTTGGCGAAAAATCTTACCTTAACGACCTCACTGACAACAACCTTTTTAGCAGTTCTTGGTCTCTCGCGTCCATAAAAAAACTTTTAACGCTGCTTAAGCGTCTCCAAAAATCGATTGCTGCACTGCTTTTGTTGTTGATAAAACTGCCACCACCAGAACGACTGTTGAAGATTTAGCACGCTTAAATAATGGCTAACCATTCAATTGCATTAACATGGAATCATACTTCCATGCCTATTGAAGGTTGTACTCGTGGTCCACATGAGGCTATTTATTTTTGACGGCAATCATCATATTTGAATTAGGCAACCTTTTACAGGGTTCTTATTAAAGCCTTTCAACCAACTCCTCACTTTTGACTAATTAAGAGCAGTTCATTATGCTGCAGGCACCGATTTAGGACGCCTGTCCTTCAACCGCAATACTGTCACCACACATGTTTTATAAATCAGTCCTAAAGTGAAATAAGTGAAGAGAGGACAGTTACGGCAACATGCAAACAGCGTGACATGATGTGAATCAGGGTTATGTGATTCTTGGTACTGCAGTAGCCGCGGAATTCTCCCTTCTCCAAAAGAGTTTTCGCTCGAATTTGAACACGTTGAACCGATTGGCAGCCTCGGTAGTGCCTGAATGACTGACGTAACGTACGCTCCACTTGTCCCTAACTTCGACTGCAGATAGAATGTCATCTCTTAATGTGGCGTGTTGACATTATTTAAGGTGTCACATTACCTCATGTAACTACAGCATTTCGCAACACCAAAGGTCACTGAAACAAATAACGCATGTAATGTTAGCATCCAAAGATATCGGTTTACTGGATAAAGCAGTTACAAATATAAATCCCTTAAAATGGGGAAAAAACTTTTACAAACAAGAAAGCACGTGTTTTACAATATTTGGATGCGTCTAAGGCGATGGTTAGTGACCTCGGAGAGGTGGGCTGGATGTAAATAAGCCATGCTTTGAAACCCGTAAATCTGACAACCAAACCGTCCCTCGGATTTCCTCTCATGGTTCACTGCCAGCCACCTAAAGTGATTTTAACGTATCCAATGTTGCCTCGAAATCCCCACTGGGTAAGGCTATGCATTTGACTTCCAGGATTGAGTTTCAGGATGCCCAACAACAGTCGATTGTGCGCCAACTAGCCTCTACTACAAAATCAAGTGAACTTAGCTATAACCCTCAGCACATGAATTTTCCCTTTTGAGCAATTCGAAAACTTTGTGCCATTAACGCTGAGGTATGTGAGGCCATTTGCAGTTCTTTAGTCACATCCACCCATTAACACTGACAATCCAATGATTCGTATGCATTAATTAACCATTTAGGTGCGATAGAAAACTTCACCTTTCCCCCTCATGCCACCTCATAACAAAAGTAATCAGAATTTTAGCCCAATGCATGGATTTCAACTAATCCACTTTTCCTCTTGCTTACCAATATGCTTTCAATTAGTAATTCCATCACCTTTTTTGTTCACACCATCTTCAGCTTCAGTAATTTGCCTTCGACTATTGAGGAACATAATTTCTCGTCAAAAACCATTAGATCCTTTCATTTAAAGCGTCTTAAGGCTGACACTAGATCTTCTGCTACTTGGACTCCGCATCTTTTAATATGCCCACGGCAAATATTAAAGAGGGCGGTAATGCTAGCTGTAAAACATCTTTTTTCAACCATTGGTATGCTAAAGTTAAATGCTTCTTTGAACGGCTAAAGCCTCCCCATTACTCCAAGGCGGCACGCACGCAATTGTGGGGTCAAATTATTCTACATTGAAACAACCCAGTAACGTATTTATATGAATGATTCTTTGCTATTCTCAAGAGGTTACAACTTCTGACACTTTAAGGCGATTAAATTATGGTTACAAATCATTCCCCTTTACTGGAAATAGAGGTTATGCAGCAATGAAATAATTCTCCTACCACAGCGGCCAATAATCAATGTTCTTGCCTCTTCGATAATGGCCTTCTGTCATCACGTATTTTAACAAGCTGTGAAGTAATTTTAAACTTATAAGAAGTTAAGCTCATCCTTCTAAGTGTGTAAAAATTTTCCTAAGCGTTTTTAAAAGTAACCTCTTAAATATTTCAGTTACCCAATAGTGGGCTAAGCAACCAATCAGATTTTAGCTCCTACTGTCCAATGGGTAACGAGGAAAATTTTTGCGATCACCACCATAAGTGCCAACTGTTAAAGCAACATGTGTGCACACTCACCAAGCGGGAGTTAGCAACGCGCGAAAAATAAAGTTTTTATTCCTTCCAAGACATATGCTGACTTCTTCATAAACAGCACTGAGGTTTACCAAAAGTCTATGGAAAGCATCCTAGATCGCACAAAACTTGGGCGACCAAAATGCGCACCAAATTCCGAATCACATTTAAAGGATTATTCCTCCCACCGAAGTAAAATAGTATCAGCCTCTGCTAATATGGATTCCCCGAATAACCGGTCTTTAAACACCTACGAGAACTTACAGCCGCCTCCCAAACCGTCTTTCAATCCTGCTGCCAACCTTCAACTAATCATGACCGGCGAACAAAACCCAGCACCTCCCAAACCCTCTCTGGAACCACCCCAATCCGAAGAACTTGACTCACTAATTTATTCAATGCTCAAGGAATTTAGACCAGCAGTGGAGCAGGTCAAATCAGATCCCCCAACAGAGGAGATGAATCATCCACTATACGGCTCAACAAAGAGTAAGAAGTTCACAGTGACACCGGTTCCTTCTGGAGGCTCTCCAACAGGTACTACCTTTGTTGAGAGTTTTTCCTCCAGAAGCTCCAACGATGATGGGCAGCCAAAACTTGCTGCGCCTCAAGAGTCTTTGAAATACATTACGGTGCCTGAAGACCTGATCAATTTAGACAGGAGAAGCATTTTGAGAGCGCGGTTTCGTAAAGCTTTAGAATACGCAAAACACGCTCTGGGTTTTATTATATCCCACATAGGACTGTCACTTATGGTGGTTGGTTATACAATTCTAGGTGCGCTTGTATTTTGTGCTGTCGAAAGAGAAAGGGAACGGCAAGTTAAAACGCAAATGCTTGTTCGTTTCAACAATACGCTTACAGAGCTGATGGATTTGTGGATAACAAGTTACATTAATTTGAGGAACAAAATTGATCTAATACATCGAGCCGCGATGATGAATCAAACCCTCGCAATCCGTACACAAGGGAAACACGACCTTGAAGGCCTTGACTGGTATCTTCACGGCCTGGAGCTGTCCAAAGAAATAATACCAAGACACTGGCTTGAGGGTATTGTGTCAAAAAATACCTCAAAAACTTACCAAGACTTGAAAAACTCCACCATTTCGTCTTCCACACTGCAAAATCTGCACAGTGCAACTGCTCCCGCCTCCTTTCCCACTGACAGAAATGGCACCTCTTACCCGTCAAGCCTCGAGTTTGACCACAAAGGCATCATGGAGACACTTTTTAATAGCAGCTTTAACACAGACCAGATATCAAACATAAGCGTCCTGGCCGAGAGCGTCCGAGCCAATGTTACCCAGATTATTGCCACCTATGTAAATCAGGTGGTTCATGCAATAAAAGATGAAGGATGGAATGGGGCCTCTAACTTCGATGATATTAACTGGACATTTGAAGGAGGCGTACTGTTTGCCATTACTGTCATCACTACAATCGGTAAGCCCTAGCATTGTCTACATTATAAGTTTTCTGCTATAAATATAAGAAGTTGCCCATTTCGACAGAAACATTCCCTGCCAATCATGGCCATCTCCATTGGACTTAAAAATTTGCTGGTAATTTTAAGACCGTTATCTCGAAAGCGAGAAAAGTTGTGCATTCGACAATTTCCACAAAAGTGAACACAGCTTTTGTAGAGAAATACGTGAAGTAACACACGATATGTATGTTGCAGGTGTGGGTGGTCGGGAGGATGAGCAGGTGAAGGTGCGTAAACTTACAACAAACAATGTGCCGAAAAGGTAAACAATTATCTGGGACAAATTATGTGCTAAAAGTGAAGGTTCTGTGGAATAGTCAAGTGGTGTTTGGTGTGTTGATGTACTTGTTTACTTTAGACTAATTTATGAGCAGCTTAGACTGCCACATTTGTGTGAAAATAAGCGAAGCCAATGCTGGATGCAGAGGTGAACCAACTGAAAAAGGTTGCGTCCTCCCAACAGCACTTGGCGCTGCATTGTACCATCGCCATAACACCGCAGGCTGTGGGAGTTAGCGGGTCACGTTCGCTTGTCTTGGGGTCCAAGGCGCCATTTGCAGCAGCCTTATTACCTTTCAAAATTTCATTCTATATCCTCATGTAAATGCATAAACAAGTTGAACACACCGTTTCGTTTGTGCGAATTTTATCGGATGTGCATTAATCCTGCCCTTGCAGGAAAATTCCGGACGACTATCTTATCTACAGCTGACGGCAAAGTTAAAGACTCTAAAAACATGGCGCCTTCACTTAGGATAAGCGTCCACTTTTTGAGCCTTACCTTCCAAACGCAAGGACCAAAATAATGCAGCCTTCTCACGACAGTCACGAGTGTGGACTTCTTTTCGGTGTCCACAAACTGTTACTCTGCAAAGGCTTTATGCTGTTATCAGATAAGCTCCACTCTTTTATCAAGAAATTTCAACTATCCCCTCCATTTTTGCGTCCCTACTCCCAGCAGTAAAGTGGGTTAACAGGTGAACGCGGCTGCCACTATGAAACACTCAACGCTCGAAGTAAGTCAAACCGCGGAATTCTGTAGTTTGTCCATTCTCGACTCTGAATGTTTAAAATTCTTAGTTTTCAAAGCACTTGTTCACTAGTAAGTAGACGCTGAGGCGAATGCTAAAAAGGCACATCGTTGTTTTAAGGACAATCCATCGGCAGTAGTTAGCAATTAATTTTTTGAAAGGAAATAACGAGCTTTGCACTAACGACTGCTTGATTTTAGAAAAAGCCTTCGACCGTCAGTAGCTTTGCGATTCGAAAAAGTCAAATAACTTTACTCCTCCATTTCTGGTGGAAAAGTCAAGTTTTCTTCGCTTTTCATAAATTCATTCAAATGCAACATGATGAGTGAAAATGGCAAGGAACGGCGGAAATGCTAGCAGCACGCTTTACGTCCCACTCCGCACCAGCTCACGATTTTTCTTTGCATTAATCATTATGCCCCTTCTATCTCATCTTCCTAAACCAACGTCAAAATCTTTACAGTGTTTGCATTTCCTTTTCATTAAATCAATCTCTTTGAAGTCAACACGATTTGTGACCAGTGGAAAAGGTTAATAGAAGTTGGTGCAGCAGATTTCCATGTTCAACTACGTTGAATTAGAGGCAAAAAAATGTTACCTGATGCTGCTGATTGTTTGCCCAATCCGTCGCAAAACGAGGTACTGCTCGACAGAAGAGGACTTATCCAAAGGCAGTTGACACTGCATGACAAAGGAAAGAGATTTTCTTCTGGCTTCTCAAAACAAGTTGGCAACAAAGTGCATTTGGTTGCTCAGTCAAAACTTCCAGTTTCTCCAGAATTCTGAAATTGCCGATGCGTGGTCAAGAGAACTGTTTAATGAAATTGTTTTTCAAAAAAACTTTAAGGGTTTTTGTTCTTTAAGTTGTTGCCCACTCTTTCTACTTGGCACCATCAACTTTAACTTTCGAAAAGGCAAGAGGTTGGAGATGTGCTTCAGGTGACCGAATATGTTTAGCTTCAATTTTGTAACAAAGCAGTCACCTATTTTGCAGAGATGGAGTAGTTTTTTCTATCGTTGCGATCAATTACTAAAAATTCTGGCATGCTCATCTTCCCATCCACATAGAGTGCGTCAGATTTTTTAAATCCATTGGTGCTTCTGCACCTATTGCAGCAGTTGACGTTCTTCGTTACTAGTCGGTGACCGAAAATTGCTACCCCAGGACAGACTCTTTAAAGTGGTAGCGGCAGCCGAAGGCAGGTTTTACAAATAGTTGGGCCTCAAGAGAAATAGGCTGAAATCGACCTTTTTGAGCGAGTGTGAAAACTTCCTTTGGGGGTGAACTCAAAAATACTGGCTGTGGATGTGCTCAATTGCACGCCTGCCTCCATACATTGAGAAGTGATTTCAACGTTTCAGTCCCGACATCCTCCTCATCTGGCACACTCGCCACTGGCATGAATTTTGTTATTCAAATGAAGTACATTTCAAGGAGAACGGAACTGAATTCCTCTTACAGTTTGGCACTTTTTGTTAGTTCATGGACCGAATGCAATCTTAGAGTTGGAATGCAGTTTGAGCGGAAGAAGGTAGCAAAATCCCAACTAACTCTTCAAATTTTATGCTTCACTGCATCAAATGCTCATGTTTACATTCAGAAAAATGTCAGCTTGCGATAGGAGGCTATGGGAATGCACCACAGGTCCCATGGTTCTCCCTCGCCCTCCCGAACCTTGCTAAACACCACTTAGATGCAAGACCCGTGTGATTCTATTTGGTTACATGGTTGGAACGTTTTAATGAAGGTGAGATCTAGGAAGCCTACCTAATGGAGTCGAAATGAATGGAAGCGCCATAGTTACTTTGTTATTTAAAATAAGTACAGAAGTTCTGCTCCTTTGCGGAATCGCAAAGTTCGTGAAATTCACTCCACAAGGTGACAGGAGTACTTTACATTCTGCATTGCCGCATCAAAATCGCAGGTCATGAGCTTTCGAGGACATCCTGCTCAGCCAATCCTTCACATGAATATTAATTTGGCTCTAGTAGACTTTCTTAGTGCTGTCATCAGAGCTAACTTGGTAGATGCAGACGATGGTTTATTCTTGGCCAATAATATGCAAAGAGGTTAGCTCATTTTACTGAGATTTCGTTGCAGCCGGACCATCCTTTTAGGCTGG